AAAATCCAATAAGTCTTTTTCTTTTTTAACTTTTCTTCAGATGGAACTTTATATATATCAGCTAATGTAAGACTCATTTCGTTTATTAGTAAAGTTAGGTATGCCTCGTGAAAACAGCAATACTCTGAGGGATTGCGAGGCTGAGACATGGCCTATATATAATCCTCTCAGTACTGTTTTCGCCGAAGGGATTTTATTTAGTGTTTCGTTGTCGCTCTATTAGAAACTATGGCATGTTTCGTTGGAGGCGAATCCGAGAGACTCATAAAATCCTATCTTTAGAAAAAGAATTGTTTTTACTCTTTATGTCCATAGTTATTGCATTAACCGCTAACTTGCCACTTATCAAGAACTACCGACTTAGCCTTCATCAGACTGGCACATCTGGTTGGCTGAACGGAGGATAAACTAAGCAACGCTAATAGTCCTTAGAAACCTATGTTCGGTTGAGCCATCTCGCTACCAAAGTATTCAGATATAAATAGATTTGGAAAGTAAATATATTTCTATTAATAGATCTAGGCCAAATCTTATATTTGGTATTTTCCTGGGGCCTTTTAATGGCCTTGTCCAAATATTTGATATGTAATTTGGAAAAGGTATTAATTAATTAAACCGTTAAAACCCAATTAAAGAATACTGAGTTTACGTACTTTTAAGAGTACGTTTTACGTACTATTAAGAGTACGTTTAAATTACAAGATTCTAATGTGGAGGCCCGGCTTTTACAGTCGCGACCGTTCCTCAGACTGACAAGGCCGACGTACTCGATCCCCATAATCCTTGTTCCAGATGGCATAGGATCCAGTGGCTTGAGCCGATCCTTGTCGTCTGCCTCTGTCCTATTGTGTATCATACTTCCAACATGTCTATTCATCTTTCTCATATTGAACGCCAATGCCGCATACCCGCCAACCGACGTAAATATGGCGATGAACGCATTTCGTTAATTCCATTCCATACACGTGGAGAGTATATCAAGCTCCAGTTTGTCGAACTTTGCAATTGTACGTTCCTGGACAGCCGCAAAGGTGGACTACTCCGTATGTGAACCACCAAGAATGCTATGGTAGATCTCCTCGTGTGTCAACAACTCTGCTTGTGCTCTCAAATCGAAGGACTCCATAATCCGCTGTGTCCCCGCTGTCACCTTATTGAGTGCTGCGTTCAGCGCTGCAATCGTTTTCTTCGCTATCTTGCTTAGCTCCGCCTCGCCATTCTTCGAGCCTGTTTGTGTCTCCGATGCTCTCTCTTGCGCTTCACGCAATCTCTGCAGCCTATCTTCATTAGTATATCTGGTGCTTGTATCAGACTGTCATCTCGAACTGACCGCTATCCTTCCGTTTTGCTACCAACGACGGTGTATTCTAATAGCCCGACTCGTCAGTTGACAGATCAGAACTCTCATCTTCATTTTCGACGAGCTTCTTCAACAGCTGAAGGACAGTGACATGCACTCGGATCAACTTAAGTTCCATCGCCATATCCTTTCGCAGCCGGTGGAGCTAGTAGTAGTGTCCTTTCAATCTAGTAGCCCACCCTTGTACTTGGAGTCCAAAAGTACGTGCATCGTTTTGTTCCGCACGCACTACATCACCGTCGTCTTGCTGGTGATCTTCGGCCTGAATCGATATTCTACTTCCGGTCATATCTGTTGTATCAAACGCAACACACTGATCGGCACCAAAAAAAAGCCCTTTCCTGCAACTAAAGGGTCATCTCTACGCATTCGTCTTGGCCTCATCCCATTTCATAAACTATGGGTGCAAGAATGTCGAATGCCTCCATCTAACTTCTTCCAAGGATTCTGTCTGTATTACCACCAGACTGACATTTGCTATCGCATGACCCGGCATTATCGAACCAGGTACTCATAATAGTCATACAAATACAGTCAATCGAACCAGGTACTTATAATGAACATACAAATACAGTCAATCGAACCAGGTACTCAATGAACATACGAATACAGTCAAAATAAAACTTTGGTGCTATCTTTCATGTGAGCTAGATATTCGCCTGATAACCAACAGTCTCGGTACAACTATTTATAGTGGTCAACACACTTAGAATGGGCAATGTTGTTGACCTCAGTTAATAAATTTTGCCTCCGAGTACACTAGGTGAATGCTCAGAGACACCTTGTGTGTTCCCTCGATATCCTACTTCCCTATCCTTGGAAAGTCTTTTCGATCTTACGGGACCTTCTCTCCGCAGTTGTCCATCACTTGCCTGAATACTCCTCCCATGCATCGTGGTGAGGCAAGGGCAACAAACCAGGGCTAGTGTGGACTACACAGGATTGATCCCTCACCCCTTGGCGGTTACTACATCCAATAAGCTGTTCTCTTGATTCTCCTGGACTCAAAATGGCATTCCTTGGTAGTTCGGTACTGACAGGTACCGAACTCTTAGTCGTGACGGTAGCTACAGCATTATTAAACAGTCGATCAGCCGAAAATCGCGGCCATCCCGACAGAAACTTGTAATTTTTGTCCAATTTCTCTTGAGCTTGGAACTTTGTGTTCCATTTGTGTCGATTTCAGATTCGAAGCTATGCTTTGGGGGCTCTCGGGACCGCTTCGGGAAGTAGTGGCACCATTTTCTTTCATCTCATTAAACTATGTGTACATGTACACTCGCCAGTAGTCTTTATTCCACTGTTTGTAGCGTGGCTAAAGGAAGGTGAGACATGGCTGCGTGTAGATTGATTCATTATATTATTGCATTCAAACTAGACATGGCTGCATTAATTTTGAATTGAATTCAAATCATTTGAATCTACGTGTGGTACTGGCATGGCCCTCTGGAGAAAGTCGAAGTGAGAAGTATAACAAATCGCTCAAAATTTACTATCCTACTCCAGAGACCGTCTCCAGAGGACCATGGAACCAGCATATGCTTTGCTGGCCGCTTCCCTTTTTGGCAACTATAAAATGTATCAGCTCATAGTTTCTCTTCTTTTCCGTCCCTCATCTGCTCTCGAGCTCATATTCTGATTGTATTTCTACTCATAGCGTGTCTTACAACTACTACATAATAGACGCTCAAAGAGTGGCCGATCGGTGCTGCAATAAATATATATTCAATATATTGATTCGATGATGCCAGCAGTAAGAATTTTCCTCCGAAACTCCTATTTATATCACGCGGCAATGCCTTTCATCCTGGCTGAGCACTATACTTGTGGTGAGAGGCTGTCAACAGAGGTCTGATTAGGCTTTACTATTGTACTCCTGTTTTTCGCCCCTTGAGTCCTTACGTGTAACTATAAGTACGGATAAGTATACGTTTACAGATTTGCGTTTATGATCACCTTTAACAAAGGTGTTCCTGCTTCATATTAATCTATATATAAATAGTACGCACAGGTTCTATCGGTATCTACACAGCAAAGCATATTATTGTGAAATTTTTGACCATGTAGTATATATCGTAGGATACTAAGGACGTGGAATATCACAATATCCATACCACACACCGCAATATTACAGAGTTGTGATACCCACATTTCCTACTATAAAGCCCACTACTTCCTATCGATACATGGCTGGCAGCTTCTTATTCCACATTTTACCCGTGTACTACACACCGCAGATCACCAGGTACATCTTCCCTTCAACTATCAAGAAGAGTTATGACATCGTGACATTCTGTTTGTTCTACTAACAAACATTTCCTATTGGTGTCTTGCAGGTGACTACTGTACATCTTGACCTTATGGTACACGTTGCAGATCACCAAGTACATCTATAACTCGGTAACCACAGTACAAAGTACAACTAAGCAGAGTTATGACACCGTGACATCCAATTTGTTCTACCAACGAACACTTCTTACTAGCGTATGACAGGTTGCTATTGTGCATCTTAACCATATGGTACACATTGTAGATCACCAGGTACATCTATAACTCGATTAACACACTAAAAGGGTATAGTTAAGCAGAGTTGCGCCATTCTGACATCCGGTTTATTCAACGGCGTGCACATCTTATCGGTATTTGTCAAGCAGTTTGCTGCTGTGCATCTTATCCATATGGTACACATTGTAGATCACCAGGACCATGAATATCACCACCACTACACTGTACAGAACCATAAACCAGTCCAAGGTCGAATCCGTCTCCACTGGTCTATTCCGTTTGGACTTCCTTTGTCGTGTGTTCATTGGGACATCCTTCCCAGCAGCCGGGTTGTCACTGACAGTCTCGTGGAAGGTAACGTTTCGAGTTTCTTTCCTGTGCTTTGTCTTCTCATTGAGTGACGAAACGAGCGTGAGCGGTGACGAGCTCTTGGGCGGAGTCCGCCTGCCCTCTTGCGGTACACCCTCGGCACTCGCTTGTCCACCCACTCCCTGCATACCTATATCCCCAGGCATACCTACATCCCCAGGCATACACGCGGAATGATCTGCGGCATCTCCATTGGTGTCCGGTTCCTGTCCGTTGCTCTTGGGTGCGTGTTCGGTATCTGAGGTGTCTGTGCCTGGTGCAATGCGAGTGTGGACTGTTGCGGCTTGGTCGTCTTTCTTCGGTGCGTTTCTGCGCTTAACGGCTGTGGGAAGGCAAAAGAATGAGTATAAGAGAAGAGATGTGTATTTAAGAACGTATACAGGTGATCGTACAATACAGAAGCAAATGATAAGTAAACTATGCTGCTAACCAGTGCTTATGAAAGTGGTCATACCTGCGAGTGGATGAGTGATGGGATGGGGGTGTGGATAAGTAGTTCTTCAATCCACCAACACCTTCCCTCAAGTGCATCTGTTGGTTCTTCAGACTACGAAACCTACAAGTGTATCTCTTTGTACCATACACTATGCATAGCTTCGTGTGTGTCGATTGGCACACCGTTTTGCTAAAAGGACACATACTGAGCCATACCCCATGATTGGGATGATATTAATAATTTCAATTTGGATAAAGTTTTGTCTACATGTACATGCGCCGCCTAGTCCTAGTTGTATGTCTCTCACTCATACAAGGACATGCCTGTCACTGAGCATATGTAGAGGATCGATCTGACTACGCGAATATATATGTGTGCACACAGATGTACATATATAATACAATAAATACATACGTATACACGCAGATGTCCTCATACAAACATTATTTACAAATACACGCAGCTGTACTTATACTGACATTATATACGTATACACGTAGATGAACATGATATACAAAATTGCATACCGGTATCGTTCTTGCCCATCATAGCGGTATATAATGCTCGCTCTGCCACTTTCTCTTTCTGAATCCGTTTGTTCACCAATCTGTATGACACCACGTGAACGAAAGAGAACGAATGAGCACAACGCACGATCAAAAGGATTTGTGAATCGATTGAGGATATATGAATATATATGAATATATATATATATATATATGCTATACTATATATATCACACACGTACATACATACATACATAAAATACATACATACACATAGGCACAGGCACAGGCACAGGCACAGGCACAGACACAGACACAGACACGGACTCAGACACAGCTATATATATATATATACAAACACACACACAGCACACAGCACACACAAATATATTTATACACACACACACACACACATACAGATTTATATATATATATATATATATATCTAAATAATATGTATAAATATATGTATTTATATATAATATAGAAAAGGTTTCGCATATGAAGATAAAAAGCGCCACAACTTGTAGAGACATACATTAACTTGCAAGCAAATAGATACAATGTACTTGTCTACGTCGATGAGCAGACGAAATACCGCTAGTTGCACTGTCCATGCTGATGTCTGACACACATCAACAACTACATAACATTAACAAGTAAATAACACTAGCAAGTGCATATGTGTGCGCGTGCACATGGTGGTTGAATACGATAGCACAACTGATGACAAGGACAGATACTCTCATGCGTGGGTGTCTTGTACAGAAACAAAGCACTCAATCCTAAGCAAACAATCAACACTAACATACACACAGTGGGGTATACACAACCCTATAAAGACAAAGACAAAGACAATCCTGAGATGAAGAATAGGTAGCGTCTCCACGCCCTTACGTATATGTGCGTACAGCATACTTGTTCAGAATACAAAGGATCTCCACACCCTTACGTATATATGCATACAACATACTTGTTCAGAATACAAAGGATCACCACACCCTTTCGTATATATATATGCATATAACATACTTGTTCAGAATACAAAAGGATCTCCACACCCTTACGTATATATGCATACAACATACATGTTCAGAATACAAAGGATCTCCACACCCTTACGTATATATGCATACAACACACTTGTTCAGAATACAAAGGATCTCCACACCCTTACGTATATATGCATACAACATACTTGAGCTTGTTCTTCGCATCCGTATTGCCACTGTCCAATGTCAGCAGACGGCTGAAGTCTCTCGCCGACTCACTGTACGCCTTCATCTCCTGTGGAGTGTGCATACAAACAATCATTTTAAAGCTCACGACTTATGTGCCTATATATAATGTATATACACATATGCATACATATGCATATACATACATACATACATACATATATATATCTATATATACATAAAAAGGAATATATATATATATATATACATGTACATATACGTATACACATGTATACCTATATACAGGTATATAGATATAGATATATATATATATATATACATATATATATATACATATATACATGTACACACACACACACATATATATATATATATATAGATATATACGTATACACACGCATATATATATATCTATATATACATACACACATACACACATACATACATATATATATATATCTATATATACATACACACATACATACATATATATATATATATATATATATATATATATATATATATAGCATATACGTATACACAAACACAAACATATTCATATACATATATACACATTTATATATATATTACACACACATGTATAAAAAAATATACAAAATAATATATATATATATATATATATATATATATATATATATATATATAATATATATATATATATATATATATATATATATATATATATGTAGTNTNTGTA